GACGCTTCTCAGGGTCCAGCAGGCTGATGCGGCCCAGGCCATAGGCCCTGCGGATGCTGCGGGAGCGGTGCGTGCTCCTCTGGAAGGCGTCAGCATCAGCGTCGTCCTCGGAGCCCTCAGAGGTGCTGTCCCCTGTCTGGGGGGCGTCAGCGGCTGGGTCCTGGCCGGGGTCTGCGGCCACCACCGCAGCACCGTTGGGCACGGCTGTCTCCAGGGTACCTTCCCACACGTTATCTTTGGAGGCCTCGGATGCCTCCCGGTTCTGAATTCCTTGAAGGATGGAGGACTTGAGTTTTTTGAAAGATCCCATTTTGCGGAAGGAGGCCAGGGCGTTCCACGTGGAGGAATTCCCCATGAGCACCACGGACCGCGGCCTGTCGGTGTCGGCGCTCGCCCGCTTTCGACTCACAGAGAAGAAGCGTACGAGCTTGGAAGGGCTGAGCCGGGCCTCCGGGGCTTCGGGGTCATTTCTGTATCCTCCATTCTGACACACCGCGGATGTCACCATCTTGGAGTCCTTTAGGTCGGAGGTCGAACAGGGTGGTGCAGTACCTAGCCCATGTCCGTTCTGGGCTGTGGTCATGTTCTGGGAGCACGGCGCCTGTGGCCACAGGGCAGTGTGGCTCAGACCTACGTGGACATCTGCATCCTCAGGCCCCCACTCCAGAGCTTCGTCGCCCAGGTCACCAGCTTGGCTTCCATTCCTACACCATGCATTGGGCTCTGAGGCGTACACTGCCTACAATAGAAAACAAAGCAGATATTGAGCCATTTTGCCCACAGAAGAACTTCCATAATCTGTGGATAATTATTTTGTTTAACCATTGCCAGTATTAAAAAACAAACAAACAAACAACAAAAACGGCAAAGGTAAGCTCATGACAAGGCTGATCATGTAAGAACTATTTTAACAATTTTCTTTTCATCAACTCATTTCATAATAAATTGAAGGTAAGAAGGCAAATACATAGCCCTAAAAAAGAAAAAAGTTATGGGTTCTGCATCAATATGATGGTGAAGTCTTGAATTTGTTGAAACTTATGTATGTAAATTGTGGAAAACTGCAGGAATGAATATGCCACTATTCAAGACCGTCTTTTATGTGAACTGGAAGGGATGTTTTTATCACCAAATATCAGAAAAACCCATAACTACTTCAAATGTGTCACACTGAAATGCCAGCCTGTGTTCAATGCAACACAGCCAGTAAGCAAAAAGGGAGTTTGGTTTACGTAGGAACAACTACACGGTGCAGAGATGGAGACAGAAGCTATTGTTTGCTTCCCATCTAAAAAGGGCTGTAAAGTACCAAGGAACAGGAATAAAAGTGACATAGTGCTGCAGGGTCACAGGGGCAGGAAGGCTTTGTGAAGAAAACCGCTAGCAAGGAGCCTTTTCAACAGATTATAACAGGCCAGAGAATGGAGAGAAGTTAAGATGTCCCTAGAGTATTAGAAGTTCTGACCCAAGAATTCAAATTAAGCCAATGATGCAACTAACTTCCTATTCTCACATGTACAGTAAAAGATGAGCATGTGCCCATGCTCTTCCCTCCAATGCACATATGTGTCCATGCCTTCCACTTCCGTGCACTGTGTGCATGCCTTCTCCCCTTGTACCTTATATCCATGTCTTCCTCCTGCACACCTGTGTCCAGCCCTGGCCTTGCACTCTGTGTTTTCCTCCCCTTCCTAGACCTGTATTTATGACCTGTCCATGTCCCCCACCTCTGTCCATGCCCTTCCTATATACACCTGTATCCATTCCCTCCCCAACCTCATATACCCATGTCTATGTTCTTTGCCTCTAATTGAAAATGCTGCCACCTTGAAACTTTCCCATCAGGTCAAGACCTGTTAGGCCTTCATGAAGCAGCATAAATGTCACAGTCCTCCCACTCTCAATAAATGATTAATGACTAAATGAATAGTATTTGGTTAGTGCCTACTACTTGTCTGGATCTTACACTAAAGAGTTTTTTAAAAACATCACGCACCTGAGTACTCATGTTAATCTAAGAGGTCAACAGAATGATTTCCACATTATAGATAATCATTTGCACACTTGGGTAGTTTAGGTCATTGTCTGGGGGTCCTCCAGCTGCCCCTCAAAAACCTATACTGTTCTCCACTGCATTAAACTAATGAGCAGACACTGAGACACAGATGAGATCTGTATCCAAAGCACTTGACTCCAATTCCAGCACCTCATGACCCTAACATATAAAATCCCAAGAGTCCTTAGATTACTGTCAAGGCTATTTCCTCCAAGGCAACATGAAGGGCAATAGAGGAGGAGGACGAGGAGGAGGAGGAAGAAGTTGTAGAAAGACCAGTTTAAATTTCCACTTAGTTTACCCCTTCTCAAGAGTAGAATTTGACCTTGGGCAAAGAGAAGCGTCTCTCACCTCCTACAATGGATCTGCTTGATACACTTTTTGTTGGCCCTTGGGTCATACCCAGAGCCATGGGTAAAAGGGTGAAGGATTGACTCCATCTGAGACCCATCAAGAAGCTACACTGACTTAAGACTGTCAGGCAATCCATCAATTAAAAAACTGATGGGCTATTGCATGCCCTCTAGTTTAATGCTCTATTGGGGAAATTAGGGAGCTTGAGGACCTGTGGGTTGCATGTGAATGAACCACATAAGAAGTCTTGATTCATCACAGAGAGTGGATGTAAATTCTGTAACCAGTTCCAAAATAAGCCTAATACTAGATTATCACCTCTTTGCCTTCTCTGACTCTGGAGGGACTGTGGCTGTTCCAAAGTCTTAGAGTTCTGAAATGAACCAGGAAGTTTAATCAAATATTGAAGTCCAGCTTATAGGAACTGACTGAATATTAAATAGTAATAGTTTTATTTGACTTCCACTGGAAACACAGGGAAGAAGGCATGATCCTGCCTTGTAACTAAGCTGGACAATTTTACCAGAGGACAGTAAGAGAACTTTTATAACCAACAAGAACACCTGGATTAAGCTGACCCTTAGGGCTCAAAGCATGCTAGGAAGCACATTTGTTAGGTAGTTTGAATATGATCCATAGATGACCTAGAGCTAGACCTAAATTCTAAACTTAAATACTGTCAAGTGATCATCAGGAAGTCATTTCAGTAATCTGCTCTTTAGGGTCATCTCTAAAATAAGACCTATCAACATTTATGTCCCTATCAACCAACTAATCAAACCACAAGTTTCTGTTGTGTGTAAGATCAGTACAGGCCTCATAATATGGGGCCTCACAGAATGGGAAAATGGCCTTAGAGAAGTCTACATACCCCTAATCTAATGCCTAATCATTTTTTGAGGCCAATGGCAAGCATCATCATCTCTGGAAATTCCTTCCTGAAACCACCAGAATGAATAGGATGCCTTATTCTGTGCTTCTGCACAGCTTCAGGCATCTCATCAAATTGTATAACCAAAGCATATAATACTAGTTTTATATGGCTGCTCTCAGGACAAAACTGTGCACAAGGACTGTGATTACTTATCCCCATGTGATAGTCTGTCAGTTATCCTGCTTATATCCAGTTTTTGTTTGTTTGTTGTTTGTTTTTTGAGACAGGGTTTTATGTAATTCAGACTGGCCTTGAACTCATAATATAGTAGTCCAGGTTGTCCTCAAACTCATGGCAATCCTCCTGTCTCAGCCTCCCAAGTGCTGAGGTTACAGACATGTGCCACTATGTCTGGCTTTTGCCTATATCCAATTGCATATACAGATGTAGAACTATACCAAGGAAACAAGTCACCAGATACCACTATATTTTTTATGGAATGAAGATGCTCAAATTTTTATAACACTAATAAGTATTTATTTAAAACTTACTTAAGTTTGAGTAAAGATTCAAATTCTGTAAAATACATCCAGAAAGCCTGAGTTTCTAATTGGGGCAACATGCTTTTTAAAAAGATAGTGACTTAACCATTTTGTTCAGAAGCTGAACAATGTGATTGTTGTGTACTGCTCAGAATGAAACTGAAAATCATGGAGGAAAAAAAAGCTTTTCCTGGAATTTCTAAGTAACACCAAGTTGCATTATTTAGAACTAATACTTTGACCTCTATTAACTAACAAGGATTGCAACTCAATTAGTGGTTTTGTAGAAAGTCTTACAAATCATGGGAGCGTTGCCAGAGATGCTTATGAACAGAACTACAAGAATTTTGGATGGGAATATTGTGAAATCCAATTGTCTACAGCTGCATTCTGGGTTATATGAACTTTAGAATACTGCAGAATGTTTCTCCCTAGTACTGAAATTTTTCTAAAAACAACTCTGAACAGAAAATTTAAAATGAATCTTAAAGTTCAGGAACATATAATAGGTTTATGTATAAACAGGATGGTTTCTAGTGTGTGTTGATATAAACTATAGAAAATGTGACAATGAAAGAAAACAGTGACATGTGAAATGATAAATAAAGCAGTCAAAATGTGGATCCCTGAATCACAGCCCTAGAGCAGATCACCATTAGTGTACATCTAACCCCTATTTGTAGGGATTAGGAACCTGGACACCAGTGAGACTGAGTAATCTACCACACTAATCCCCCCAGTTTTACTTCCTATGTTTTCAGTTATGCTTAGAAAAATATGATTCAAAAGTAATAAGTGGAATATTCCAGAAATAAATAACTCATAGGCTTTATATATCATTTGTTGTTCTGGGAAGCATGATGAAATCTCATACTATCCTGCTTTGTCCTGCCCAGGACTTGATTCATCCCATTATCCAGTGTGTCCATGCTGTATACGCTACCTGCCCAGTAGTCACTTAGTAGCAGTCTTGGTAATTAGATTGATACCACAGTATCAGTGTGCTCGTGTGTTCAAATAACCCTTATTTTAAACAATAATGGCCCAAAGCATAAAAGCAGTGATATTAGCAATTCAGAAACATTAAAAAAGGCTATAAAGTGCTCTCTTTACATAGAAAATGAAAGTTTATTATGTAGGTATAAATATAAACTATTGTATTATTTAGCATTCAATACTATTTGAGGTTTGCCAGGATCTTGAAATATCCTGGGGATAAGGTAGGAGGAGCTCTGCACAGCTATTAGTGAAAGTATAATTTAGTAAGGAGGTTCTGGTCCCAGCACTGCCACCTACTGGCACTTCCCTCCCCTGTGGATCTCTGCTCACTTAAATCTAAGACTCATCATCCTATTTGACTAATCTCTGTGCAGTATGATACCATCACTGCCTTATCATAGGTCTGTGGAAGCTTCACCTGGCCACCTGCCCTGGCCTCCTAACTGCTTTCCTGTCTCAAGCTGGGGTTCACCTTCAATCATTTTTCTGTCTGCTGCCAGGGTCTGTCCTAATCTGCAAATGGTCTTATCACTGAATCCAGTGCCACTGGCTGCCTTTGGACTTAAGAGAGATGTGGGCCTTCAGCCTATACAGGACTCCTCCACTTCATCTGTGCAGAATCATTCACCAAGATCCTTTTTCACACTATTGTGTCTCTGCCCATTTCCTTCTCTGAGGTTCTTTCTCCAGCCATTGTTTTCTCTCTGGCTCCACAACTCTCAGGCTTCCCTACAAATGGCTTCAGGCCAAGCTTCATCAGTGGGAAACAGGGTTAGGAAATGATGTGAGAGGGAACAAGGCAGGACCAGGCTATTTCTTCTCCTTTCTCCCTGTATATAATATAGCTATCATTTAATTTAACCACAGTTTATAACATTTCTATAGGAGAATACATTCAAAATCCTAACTGTAGA